TGACAGACAAACACTGTGGAGCACTATCAGTCATGGATTGGCCTCCCCAGAGCCTTGACCTCAACATTTTTAAAGCAGGCTGGGATCATCTTGAGAGAGAATGGAAAAATAGGCAACAAGCATCCAAAGAAAAGCTCTGAATGTTCTTCAAAAAGCCTGCAGAACTATACCTGAAGACTACTAAAATTACAAGAAAGCTTGCTTAAGAAAGTTTAAGCTATGTTGAAGAATAAATGTCATACAAAATACTGACTTTCAAAGTCATTTGAATTTCACAAACTCTGTTTTTAATATACTGTATTTCCAGTTATGTTTCAACGTGTTTCAATCGATCAGTCACCACAGCAATTTCTCATTTTCCAAGAAAAATATAAAGAAATGTGAGGTTAGCCAGATAGTTGAAGTGATACCAAACAGCTTTTTTTTTCTAGTACTAAATACTTATGCTAAGCACCTAATAGGATAAAGTTCGAATGGACTTTTTGGTATTTTCAATTTATTCTCAAGAACAGGAATAGTGACCACCACATATGCACTTCAAGTTAAAAGAAAACAGTACTCAGGAACTCAGCGTGTGATAAGCAGTGATCTGGTAGCCAGATTAAGCCCAAGTTCAATCAGCACTGCTGTCAAAGTACAGTTGATAAAATGGCAATCATTCTAAACATTAAAAAGGCAAGGTGTTTAAACAAGTTGTTCATCTAGACATTACCCAAGGCTACATTTCTTGCTTGAACCACACCCAATATCCATCTGTCATACTTGGCCAGACTTAATGATATTACCTAAACTAGCCTCTTAGCAACAATATTAAATGTTTGCCTTTAACTTTATCACGCATATTCGTACTTTACAAAGTCTGTGACTTTCAGCACAACCCTTTGTTACCCACTAGTATCGGTAGAGTACGAAGGGAACGAATCCAGCCAGTGGCTTTCTTTAAGACGGAGATCAACTTTTTTTCTGCCCAGAGAATTACAACTGTGAACGGTTATTATTGTCTTGGAGAAAGGCATTGTTCTTTTGTTTTTGGCAAATCCTCTATGATTTAAAAAGAAAATAACCCACTGCTGAGGTCACAACTTGATGCTGAGCTTCTGACCTTTCTTTCTGACTTCTCTTTACAAGAGATTAACCTGGCCACCTTCCAATCTCTTTTTTAGACACACATATATAAAGCTATAGGCTACCTGAAATCCCACTTGTAATAGTGTATGTGCTTTCTGCACTCCTCTTCCTTAAACCTATCTTCTTCCTTCATCTCTTTTTTGACTGCTCCCAGCTTATTCTTACCTCTAAGTCCTATCAATATTTCTGTCTCATGAAACTTGTTCTTTTTATTTGCGTCTGCTTTTGACTTTAATTAGTGTTTGTAATCCGACCCTCCTTTGAGCCTGCAGAAATATACTGTAGTCTGCCTGAGGGAGGTCGGATTGAGCTGCAAGGTTCAGCGTTCTATATCAAAGCAGAAGACTTCATCAAAACACCCACCCTGTAAGCATAAGGTCAGAGGTTAAATCTTCTCAACACATCCACATCTCCACAGCAGCCACGTGTCACGGCAAAACCACCTTCTGTTTTCCATCATCTTCCAAAGATTGAAGGCCGCAGACAGGTTGTTTGGGGGGTTTTTTCCCCTGTCTTCATCCAGTTATTGCTATATGTGCCAGGTATGATCTCAGCTTTTGTGCTGGACACCCGATTTTTTTCAGTTCCTCACACAATGCTGTAATCTTTCTGGCCTCTGACCTTTTTCCATGCTGGTGTTTGGCTTGTGTCCTTCCTCTCTCCTCTAGTTCAAGTCTCATTGGAGCATAGATCGTGGATTTTAGTTAAGGTCACTATTTTGTACAAAAACCAGAAAAATCATGGTGCTTTTTCCTCCAAAGTACAGTGTTAAGACAAAGATGGACCAATTCAACACACTTGGGGGCCGCACCACGTGTGGTCTGCCCTTTGCCTTTTGCAGTGAGAGAGTAAGCCAGACAGGATAGAACTTGCTCCTCTGCTATCTGATACTTTTTCAAAAGGAAGAGCCGGAGACAAAGAAAAGGCAGAGGAAGAGTGTAGAGCTGAGATGGTGGAACTAAAATGTATCCTCCTAATGTCTTTTTGATTAGCTGAGTTTTCACAATAAAGACTTCAACAAAGACACGAGAAAAGAAGAGGAGAGACATGAATTTGAGAAAAAAGAAAAGTAACAGCTTCAGACCTTCATTTAAGGTCTTCCCAGATGTTCATCTCTGCACTGGCTTATTTTACTTAGTAATATATACTCACCTAACTCATTCACTGCCAGCCATTGGCAGTGAATGAGTTAAACCCATTGACTCATTCACTGCCATTGACGGCTATAGACGTCAATGGCAGTGAATGAGTTAAAAAAGAACTGGGTAACACCTGAATAACACCAAATATAGTCGTATGAATAAAAAAAAGTACAGTACAGCCTTGAGTTATGTCTAGATGAACAATTCAAACTAAGCCAATATACAGAAGCAGCAACTGTAAACCATGTTGATTTGTTACACACAAATCAACATGGTTTACAGTTGGTGTTTGCACTGATATGCTGTATTTGGTTTTCTGTGCATTATGGCCACACATCTCAACTTCGGTCCCAGACGTTTTGTGGTTTGTTCAGATGCAACTTTGCAAGCCTAAGCTGGGAAACACTTCTAAACAAGCCACTTCAGCTTTTTTCTAATTGTTTCCAAACGCATTTTAAAGTTTAAAATGCTACCTAAGGTCTGTAGTCTGGCAGTTGTATCTAAGATCATTGCTCCCTTCCTCAATGGGTTTATCTTAACAAACTTGAATGCTCCAGACCAGCAAACTCCCAAAATTTCTGCTTTGTAGGTGGACTTACTTGCTGAGAATCAATTATTCAAGTGTATTTAGTTAGCAGCACCTGGCTACTAAATACCCTTTTAATTCCTCCCTTTCATTTTTCCATGGTGCTGTGGTGTACTTGTGTATGCATGAAAACCCAATTTATAAAAAAGCGAGAGAGAAAAAGGTGTGTTTTCCCTTTTAAATGAGAGATGTAAATACATCATCTTAACTTATCTGCACTCTCAGTAAATCAGGTTATGGCACCGGTGATGCAAGGCCTGGTGCCATAAACTGATTTTGGAGGGAAAATTGAGATTTCATTATTGCAATCAAAGCAGAAATAACTCTGCAGGGATAAAATTAGTGACATAATGCTTTTATCCATGTTTCATCATTTCCATTCTAAGTACAATAGCTACTTTTATGACCCAGAGTAAATTACTACAAGGAAGCAGATAGAGGCTTGCCAACTGAACACATGGCTGCACATGGAGATATTGGGTAATGCATAAGTTGAACTTAATGCGACCTTCCTACAGCAGCAATACACTTTCTCTAAACACCACATTTCTGCCTTTCAGTCATGATTATAAGATGACATCTGCCTCACCTGAAGTTGAAAAACTCAACCGCTCAAGCCCCGATGAGAGCATGCTTACACTCATCCAATCAAACACGAACAAAGGCAAGATTTAACACAACCTCACTTATTAGAAGTTTTCTTGAACCTGATGGCTGATTTGGCACTCAATGCTCACCCCCCTTTGCCAATGGTCAGTGCATTGCAATCTGGGAACCAATGAGTTCGTCATCTCACTCAACGTTTGGATACTAAAACCAATATTTCAGTGTTTTAGGTGTAGTCAGCAGATATCAAGGCCAAGACTTCACCTTCAGCTGACCATTCTTTGCTTATTAAAACAATCTGAGAAGCTCAGACCACAGCTTTTGGGTCATTTGGGAAATGTTATATTTCTTTACAGTGATTATTATTGACTTTGTAACAATTACCCTTCTTATGGTTTTTCCCTTGCAATGATATTAAGTACTTATTGACTAAATGGTAAATGGACTGGTACTTATGTAAGGCCTTCTGACTAAGTTTGAGCACTCAAAGTCTTACTGCAACGTATCTCATTATTACAATGGTTTTATTTATGTCTAAGTGCTTTGTCTAACTTTCACACGTTCACACTTTGATGGCGTGCATTGGGGGCAGCTCGGTATTCAGTATCTTGCTCGGGGGACACTTCGACATGTGGACTGGAGGATACTGATCCACTACCTGGGACACAGTCGCTCCTGAAAGAGTGAAATAGTTCAATATCTACTGGTTGGATTTTGTACAGACATTTGGGTTTCATTGCTAGATAAATGAAAGCTAATATGTCCTTTACCTCAGTCTTTCCCCATCCATAACCACAGCAATAGGTGGGCTGCTGTGGTAATTTTTTAAAATAACACTATATGAGTTTCAGGGTATTTTTTTCTTTTTAATAAAAATATATTTTAAAAATGTAATTTTTTTTTCTCCAAGGACTAAGATTGGAGGGCTCCTCCTCTATTTTTGTCTGGTAAAGCCCAACACACCCTGATTCATGACGGCAGCCTAAACAAACCTCGTTAAGATTTGGGCAATGGGGTTAAAAAGGAGAAAGAGGTTTGTGTGTGTGTGTGTGTGTGTGTGTGTGTGTGTGTGTGTGTGTGTGTG